CCAATCACAATTGACACTGCGAAGATCACAATTGGAAAGTAACCCAGACGAAGAGCCAACTCAACACAGTTAACCTCAATTATCGTTACAGAGTTCCACCCAGTGTCTCGCCACTCCAGAACCACACACTCCACTCACTACTACACTCTCAGAGTCTAGCGCTGCACAACAACAGCCTCCCAGAGGCCAGCGCCATCCACCCAGATGCAGATCATGAACAGCGAAGTAGTCTCCAGTGCCGATGAGTCACTCTGACGAKGAAGAAGRCAGCTATGGCTGCCTGGCTGCTACCGCAGCAGCAGTACCCACATGTACTCAGTGAAGACCTCCGATATAGCCCTGCCAACACAGATATCCCCAGGGGATAGATGCGCTGAGTACAGCCCCAGCTATGGCTGACTCAATGGGCGGCTATGGCTGCTTCACCGCTGCTGAAACCCCAGGTGCCGCTGTGGGTCTTCAGCGCTTGCTCACTTGGTTGGCCACCAACGCCGCACGCGAAAAATGAAAAGCCAAAAGTCCCTCCTACCCTACCTATAGTTTTCGGCCTAACCTACCGGACCGAAACTACTACCGGTACCGTTGCCCTAAGGGCCTACCCGGCCTCTACAGCAGTCCTACAGCACTTAGGGCGCAGTGCCCCTTAGGGCCTGCAACCACTCAAACTCTACCGCTGTTAATTCTATTTTATTTTTAGAACAGCGGACAGCCCTCAGTGCGACCACAAAAACACAGCAATCACACAGTAACAAACATGCCGCAACTCAGCAGGCAAAACCACACCGTAGAGTACAACCCCGCAGGCAGATACGGCAGCAAGCAGCAAGTCATTACACAGCGAGTCACCGCCTTCAGATCAGCGGAGTTCCAATGGATGAAAGTACAGAACCAGAGAAAGGGGAACGACTCAGAAATTCATCAAAACAAACACACCCAGCAGACCGGTCGTATATACTCGAAGATAGGAAGACAGCAGCCTCTGGTGAAAGGAAAAAAAATTATTTAAGCGAAGTCCACAAAATGGCTCCAGACTCCAGCCCCTTAGAAAAGGTGAAAGACAAGACAGGGCAAAAGACATAGAGAAGAGGAGCAGCAAAACAAGAAAGAAAAAAGAGCAGCAAAAGAAGAAAAGAGAGCAGCAAAAGACAAAAAGAGAGCAGCAAAAGAAGAAAAGAGAGCAGAGAGGGGACCATAGTGTATACAAGATGTACAACCTCACCTCAGCTAATATTGGCCACAAGTTCCACTCCACAATGAAGGTATCAGACAGCCTGACATGGCTGAGTGGAATACCTCAAGGAGAGGGGATTAGAGACTGTCAGACGGAAAAAAAAAAAAAAAAAAAAAGACTCTCAAAAATAGCAACCGAACAGTAAAGGCAGAGGCGGAGCAGAGGGAGAAGACTCAAAAGACCCTTCAGTTGAGGAAGTAATCAATCCCACTCACTCAGGATCACTCCACCATAACGGAGAGAAGCATTGGGTGAGGAAATTCATATAAGGGACACTGGACCCGGTTCCAGAGCTTGTGTTTAAAAAAAAAAAAAGAGGAAGTAATCAATGCCACTCACTCAGGATCGCTCCACCATAACGAAGAGAAGCATTGGGTGAGTAGATTCATGTAAGGGACACTGGACCCGGTTCGTTGCTTCTCCTTAAAAGCCCTCCTTTCAGAAAAATAACAAAAGACAAAAGAGAAAAACAAAAACGAAAAAGGTTGAGGAGGGAAAACCGGGTACATCAACTTACTTATGTTCGCACCGCGGTCCCTTCCAAGTGTGCTCATAACTTTCCCACCTCCAAAACTGCAAAAAAAAAGAAGAAGGGAGAGCGTCGACATGATTCGGTTCAGTTCCTTGTTGTCACATAACTTCTCATGTGATCACTTGGTCACTTCCTGAACCAGGTGCATGCGAATGAGTCCAACATTTTGAATGCATAGGGTCCAGAATGCGTTCAAATTCATGTAGATTGTTCTGTAGTCGAGCTAGCGCCCATATCAACAAGCTGAACGCATACTTATCCAAGCATGAACATATTCATCCAAGCATGACTCTCTCTCTCTCTCTCTCTCTCTCTCTCTCTCTCTCTCTCTCTCTCTCTCTCTCTCTCTCTCTCTCTCTCTCTCTCTCTCTCTCTNTCTCTCTCTCTCTCTCTCTCTCTCTCTCTCTCTCTCTCTCTCTCTCTCTCTCTCTCTCTCTCTCTCTCTCTCTCTCTCTCTCTTCGTGTGTGTGTATGCAGTCTCGCTCTTCTCTCTGACTTGGCTCACTCTGCCTCGCCCCTCGGTCTCTACCCTAGATCGTAACCCTGGATACACCCACTCAGGTAAGCTTCACACTTGGCGGCTATGGCCGCCCTCCTTCCTATCTAGCTCTACCCTAGCTATGAAGTAACTCTCAAGCACCCCCTTCCTCCTTCACGCGCAAAGTGCCAAAGTTGCCTTAACGCACAAGCACCGCATCTTGCAATTGAACGAGTGATGAGCGCACTGCACTGTAGCAGCTAAATATAGGACTTGACTTGGCTTGGCCTGCTTCAGACCGGTACCAGTCGGCCGCAGCCTGTCTGCTTCAATCGTTTTGCCGGTCCGGTTGCTTCTGGACTTTCCTGGGACATGCTGCAAAACTGGACTTGGGACTGTTGGACTGGACTGGACTTTCTTGTCGGGTACCGGGTGGACTTCTACTGGTCTACCACGTTTCGGTACCCACACCTACCGGCCTATGACGCTTCAGCCTCTGGACCCTATGACCCACACCTACCGGCCTACGACACTTCGGCCTCTGGACCCTACGACCCACCCTACTGGGACAGTCTGGGACTGGGACGTTTTGGGACCCTGGAGCCGGAACTCGGGACGTCTGCAGCGTGGATCCTTTCAAGAGTACTAATAAATGACTAGTGTATTACACATGATTATGTCACTCGTGAGTTCATCAATCAATTATTGAAGTCGAGTAATGATTACACATGATTATGTCACTCATGATAGTAAAAGACGATACACACATTAGAAAAGAAAAAGCACCAAAAAAAAAAAAAGAAACAAAATGTACCACTTACCAGAAGCCCAGGATACCAAGCGGCAGTTTCCCATATGTCTGGGCCGCATAGGATATTGTTGTATCAATATCACCTGCAACTCTATTCGCAGGATGACCCACGAGCCATTTCATGAAGTCTTCCTGCAATAAAAACAAGAAGTAAAAACTGTAAAAAAGAAAAACAAGTGACCGAAAGACGGAAGAGGGAGGCAGTAGCGGGGAGGAGGAAGGTAGGGTTAACAAAACCCGAACACAGTCTTCAGATTTTCAACAGCAAATTCAAGCAAAGTACAGAGCTTCCGACACAAGCAATCAATATCTTAAGGGAGGTGCGGGATTTCATTGCAAATCACTACGATCCGGGGGCCACAGCTACCATAGTTGCATCAGGGGGGGCGGACAAGATTGCGGATTGGGATGTGTACGTCCTCTTTGAAGAACAAAAGGATGCGGGTCTTATGTGGTTCTTGCACAATACGTTGCTGGAGATGCAGAGCTTCAAGGTGAAGCCCAGCTATGTCTGGTCGGAGGATGATCTGCTCACCTGCTTGTGTATGATCCTGTGCAAGGACATTTTCAACAGTGGGGTGACATGGGACCGACAAAACTGGCAGCGTTAACGGCAGAAACCGGGGCTGGAAACGCACGCTGCAGATGGTCAATCTTGACCTAAGATCCATAAATGTAAATGGGTTTGCATCTCATAGCCAAGAAAAGACAGGCTCTATGGAACCTGATATGGAGAGTGGGGGGCAGGCTATGGCCGGATGCGGTCTGCGTCCAAGAAACTCATTTGATGGACACTCCGGCTCATCACAAGGCACACAGGTTGGCCTGCCCCTACCAATCCTTTCAGGCCTACTACCCGGGCCCCGGTCGCGCAGCGGTAGCAATATGGCTTCTGCCCGATTTTGGAGGTGCTCCGTTGGGAGAAGGACGAGGCAGAGGGCAGGCGGGTATCAGTGTTAGGAATGCTAGAATTGGAGGTGATAAACATTGTGTGCTTGTATGCTCCCAACACTGCGCAGGAACGACGGGTATTCCTGGACAGAATCAAGGACATGAACGAACCGGGCATCCCGTTGATTTTGGCCGGGGACTGTAATGCCAATCCGGACAGATGGCTGGACCGGTGGAGGGTTCCTCCCTCTACCAGCAGCATGGCAGAGGAGGACGAACGAATCCTTGACGATTTCTGCTCATCTCTCTCTCTCTCTCTCTCTCTCTCTCTCTCTCTCTCTCTCTCTCTCTCTCTCTCTCTCTCTCTCTCTCTCTCTCTCTCTCTCTGACTCTGGAACGTCATTTAATAATGACCCGGCTAGGCCGTCAAGGTCCCGAATAGACTTGATAGTCTTATCAGAAGCATTGCAAGGGGGCCTCACCATCTCAGCGATTCTGCCCGCTAGCCCCTTTCCAGTCCTGGATCACAAAATGTGTGTGGCGGTCCTCGCTTTTCGAAAGCGCCCGGACTGCAGGCCAGGCTTAGCAGGCTATTATAAACTCAATACATCCGATCCAAAAGGTCAATGCTTTAGCCTATAGAGGAAACGATCTATGGACGGGATGCTGGACCCGGTTTCCAGCAGGCGATGTGCATAAGGGATCCAGGGATGGGAAGCTTAACCCGGTTCCCAGCGGGGGACACTCCCCACCAATAGATTGGAGACAGGGTACGGGCACTACTGGGGCCTGCTCGTATCACCGACAGTGGTGGCTTGAAACCTTGTCTCAGAAATAAAAATGAAAATAAAAATCAATCAACCATTATCACCCCACATTACTATTTATAAGCCACAATTAACTTCTTCTTCTTCGTTTGCTTTTTGAAACAACCCAGCTATGACCTACCAGGGGGGGTGATACGAGCAGTCTCCCCTAGTAAGACCACTGCCAACCAATCCATCTATTGCTGGGGAGCTGCACCTGCTGGAAAAGGGGTCCAGCATCCCATGAACATGTCAGAGTACTGGGGCCATTACCCGGCTTCGACTCGTGTACAGGAGTATTTGGAATCAGAAGATGACTGAAGAGACTGAGTATTGCAACTGCCGCCAGTGCCTCCTCACCCTATTGGTGGGCGACCTTCTCCGTTTTAAATAGAATTTGTGGCACTTTGATGCTCTGGAGAATGCCCAGTGGGTGCGAGAGCATGCCGTCACATATGTGCTCACCCATCAGTACCAGGCGACTCTTTTGTTTTGGGTTTTTTGTGCTTCTTTTCTTCAGTACAATACTCCCCACCAATAGATTGGAGCACCCGACCTAGCTACTAGGGGGATGTTCGCATCACTCACCCTAGTAGAAAGGCGGCATCTTTTCTCAAAAAAAAAAAACAAAAAAAAAAACAGCTCAGTGAAAAAAAAAGCAGCAGATGGCCCTTCGAGCCACGGCAGCGGCGACCCGGCTCAGGGCATGGAGCAGGTGAGGCAGCATGGGCATCTTCTCTTGTCATTAAGAATTCCGTGCTTGCAACATTAGGGTATGCAGGAGCTGTGCATATGCCGGGGAAGCGGACGTTTAGATACATCAAGAAGGCGATCCATGCACACCTATGGTCGAACAATGTGGACGCACAGAGTTCCATACACAGAGTTGCTTGGAAGAAGCTTATCCAACCAAGGCGATTTGGGAGACTGGGACTATTGGACCCGCGAACGCATGTGACGTTCTAACCTCACGCCCTGTGCTGTCTTCCGGTCGGAGTGATAAAATGTGCGGAGCAGGCCCTGGAAAAACAGCAAATTGGGGTGTGCCAAGGATTTTTGGAAAAATTGAGTGTGGGAACACACACACAACTGAAATTCCCCGTGTGGTTCCAGTTTTAGTGAGAAGGGACCATAGCCGCGCGAAGGAATTGGCGGGCTCTGCTTTCGAACTGCCATCTCCAAAAAGTATCTCTGAACTTTCATGCGGGCTACTCGTCGTCTTTTCGAAAGGAAAGGCGAGGGTACGCATGTCGGATCTCGTTTTCGAACTAAATCCCGGCGCCACTTGTTACAGAGTTCGGAATCCGACGTGGACGGTCTCAGCCAGGTTGCTCTTTCCTTGTATTCGTCCTCGCCACGTGTTCGGTAGTGAAGCCCCTTTTCCCGATAACGCTCAGTGCCGTGACAATCGCTATATAGAGTGTTGGGCCAATGAGGCGCCACTGCTGCCCACAGAATGACAATCAGTTCGTTAGAAGCTAATAATAAAGAGTACGGGGGAAAGTGGGTATCGATAATAACAAAACCAGCGCCTACGAATCCCGAGCACTTTGTTTCGGGAGGAAAGTAATAGCATCCGCCGATCTAGGCGACGGCTTCTCGTACGTCCCACTCACATACACGTGTTCTTTCCTCGTTATACGGGAACGTACGTGATGGGGGTCTGGGAAGTCAACACCCCGCCGCATCAGGACAATCAGTCCACATGGCATAAGCAAACTGGCCACGTAAGTCCACTCAACCCGTTATCTCATCAAAGAAGTAAACAAGCACAACACTATGCGCCCATCACCTTTCATCAATCATGCAAACCGATCTAAAAATGTGAGTTCATTCCAAACAAGGAGACAATCATCATTCATAGAGTGAGTTGAGAGCATGCATCAAGCAGAATCCTTAACATAGTTCAAACGATGCTTATACGTAACAGATCTCGCATACATGAATCCTCAGCTATCAAGAGACGCACCAAAAAAAAAAGCTGGTAAGATCACCCGGGTTTACTAGTCCCTTAAATTCAACGATACTCGTTCGTGCGAGATCCGATTGAATTCAACAGGGACGAGCGAGACCGGGAAATCATCAGATCATTATGGCATCCATGAGGTGGACAGAAGCAAAGGAATGAGAGAGAGAGGGAGAGAGAGAGATCAGGACGGAAACAAGCTTGAGGGGAAACAACCAGCGATCCGCCGTGGACTTAGCTTCCAAGGCAAAGAAGAGGAACCGAAGGACTTAGCTTCCAAGGCAAAGAAGAGGAACCGAAGATCAAGGCACGCTGGCCTTCTGCTCTCTAATTATGGCCCCTGGCCATGCAACCACCCGTATACGCACACCCTTCTTACTCAGGTACTGATGATCCCCGGCCGCCACGTACCAACCTCCATACCACAGCGATCGTCACCCCGCCAACTCAGCTTTGCGCCGACTTGCCCAGATCCCGCAGTCCGTCACGGCCACCCGACGCACAACCTTGCATACATTGCAGTCAGCTCGTCAGGACTTTCCAACCCATTCTCATACACATCACCTAGCCACGACTTTCCTGAAGCTGGCAGACGGGTTGAGAGAGCTTTTCGGACGCGCTTGCGGGTTTTTAAGTTGCGAAGAGGGGAACAAAAGATGGGGAAGAGGGGGGTGGAGATAGGAGGAGGCGAAGAGGGAGTACAGGTTAGTTGCCCGTGGAAAGCCATATCGATCCTCACCAGTTCCTTCACAGCCAATCACATCATGGTATGAGGGGAGTATCCTCCTTACACGTTGTCGTCTGAGGCTTCGAACACTCTAGGGGAGGAAGTCGGTAGGGAATTCTTGAACGGGGATGAAGGCAGTAAGAAAGAGAGCTCGGTGAGTAGCGTGGCGCGGGACCAAGATTCGGACGAAGGGGGGGGAGAGGGAGAAGCGCGAAGAGGGAGGGGGGATGGAAAACAGTTACTGTTGAAGGAGAGAAGGCGCAAAGAGGAGAAGGGTGAAGATGGCATGGGTCATAGCGGGAAGCGGGGAAAGCTTGCATGCATGGCGCCGGCGCAGAAAAAAAAAAGGGGCCGAAACAGTTACGTTCCTACCATCCTGGTTCTAAAACTCATTCAAGATTGAAGAATTCAAAAGCAATGTCGGCATGCGGAATCGAGCGCGCAAAAATCCTACGTCTATTCAATTTCCTACTGAAAATTCATAGAGCTTTTCAAAGGCAAATGGCGAAACATCCACTTGCAAGAAAGGACACGTTAACAGGAAGTGCGCCCGTAATTTCCATCCCAACTGCGAACAAAATTCCTAGTGCGCTCGCTGAGGCGAGCGTAATTCCTACGTAGATGCATGGATTGTCGAAGACGTCCAAAAAAAGAAAAACATATTAACCGTGAGAGGGCCTTGTCAGCCTTTGATCCTTGTATCAAGGTGATAGCAACAAAGAGGTTTACCCCAAAAGCTCAAAACAGACTACGCGAGAACTCAAGGCTTCAAAAGGCCGTGCATGTATAGAAGTTGGTACGTCACATATGTGACGTTCAGGGGGTTCCAAAATTATGCTATCTCCTGCAAGTAAAATCCGCTTCGATACCAATGTTATGATCCTGGCCAATTTCGAAGTACACCTTCATCAGAAAGCACAATGCCGTCCAATTGCAAAAAGAGATGAATGAACTTGAGAGGAAAGAGAGGGAAAGAAGAAGAAGAAGATGTACACCAGCAAAGACCAATGAGATTTCCCTTCTTCACCAACCACTCTCCTCCTCCTTATCTCCTCCCCTCTTATTCAAACAAGAAATAATAATAATAATATTGAATGGCTGAACCAGAATCAATGTCTGAATCCCTCTTCTACTGCAGGCATCACATGAGGTCCACCATAGCCATGGCCACCCTTCTTCCTCCTCCTTCCACGGCCGAGGCTATGGCGGACTACCAGGGCACTGCCCTGCTGTGCAAAGGACAACACAAAGCAGATATGGCTGCTCTAGCTCAGGCCGCCATGCCTGACTCTGCCTCAAATCTTCTTGGTGAAGCTCTACCCCGACGGAGGCCTTCCAGATGCAGCGTCCACCAAGGTGATAAAGACGGCATCCGCCATAGCCAGGTAAGTACCTCTGGCGCTCCTCCCTCCTAGTCCTGGTCTTCTTCCTCCTCCTGTCCTTGCTCCTCCCCAGCAGCGCTGCTCTGATGCTAGTGCTGCTCCAGCCAGCGCTCCAAACAGTGTGTCGCCAAACTTGCACACCGACAATGAGGAGGAGCACCTCGCTCCTCCTGGAGATATAGCGGCCTGCTTGCCTCTTGGCAAGTGACTTCCTAGGCCGTGCGGCCTCGAAGCAACCGGTGCCTCCTCCAACCAGACTCTGATATTGCCCGTACAGGCCCTAGACTCAGGCTAGTTGGACTGGGCACCTGCCTAGACCTAGGCTACAACTACTGGGCCTCTGAAAATGCCAACTTTGTCTTCTTCTGCTCGGCCTCAAGTACCCGGCACATCTACCTCTACCTGGTGTGGTACCGGCCTACCTGCTACTTGAGTGTTTTCCGCTGCTTCAAGTGTCGCGGGCCTCCTTCCCAGCCACTTGAGTGTTTTCCCCCGCTGCAACCCTCAATGTCACGGCCACAGGTAAGTACCGCCCCTTTGGGCCTTCCACACGGACAAGTACCCTCGCGGGTGTCACACATACTCAAACCGACAAGCACTCAGACAGGCACGCAGACCAGCAAGCACGCACACACTCAGGCTTAGAAAACTCAGCAACAAGCGGGAAACTCAGCAAGGCATGCGTTCCATTGGCAAAACTCAGAAATCACCTGCGTGTCTCAGTCCGTGTTTGGCAGGTCCTAACATATTATTGCGTATTATTGGAATTCTTCTCGTCCTCCTCTTCTGACTATTTTCTCATCTCTGCCTCATTCACCCGTGCTCTTCTTTATGACTCACTGCTACTAAAATGTGTATATGATTGAGACATGGACTTGTAATCGACTTTGGAGACTTCATGATCTGCGCTGGGTTCGGACTTGTATTGCATGATTGATTGGCTTCTCATCAAGACTGGGTTCATTGCACAGTAATTGCAGGCAGGTGCATCTATGATGGGTCGGAAGAGTGGTAATATACATACTGGAAAGTCCTATTGTGAGTATGCCCTGTGTGTGATCAGAAACGGAGAACATGGGGGGCTGCTATTGGAACCTTGGCCCTTACGTGTTTTTCACTCCCAACCAGTGTTGCACACCCCGACGGTCGGCGCCCCTTGACTGGTCGCATGCCAACCAGCCGACCAGTCAGCTGGTCGGCGCCTACCTGTCGGGGGCTGTCGGCACCCCGCAAAAAAGAAAAAAGAAAAAAAAAGGGTCCAGAACCCCCAATAA